ATAATAAAATAAATAATAAAATACAATATCGGAATAATAAACTAATAAAATAATAAACTGTTCTATAACACTATTAAAAAATTTGGCATGCACATAAGATCTACGTTATTGAAATCTGTGCTAACAGGAGGATACTGTTTAGCTACGAATTTTTCGACAACCTCTAAAGGAATGACTGATTTATTTTAACCAAAAACTCATAAATTGCTTTTTCAGCAAGATTAACAAAAGGCTCTATTACTGCTTCCTGTTCGTTTTCGGTAAAGGAAAAGTTTTGCTGTGCTTCTGGAGAAGATTTATGAGTGGTTCTAGTACTGTGGTTGTTAATAGTTCCACAAGATCCATATACTATAGATGAATAAAGTTACATTTTTTTAAATAGCTCCTTTAGGCAATTTAGAGAAGGTAGAGAAGGAGGATAACTTTTCATCCTCAAACCAGCCAAATATTGTAGTATGGGCTTGAGACTTTTTACGGAAGTCTGTATCTTTATACAAGATATCATAGAGTGAGTCACAGAGTGATCTGTGAGAAGTATCCAGAAGACAAACATTGTATAACGTGTTTAAAGTGGCGCTAAAAGTATTCTTTATGTTCCTTTCGATTACATCAGAATGCAACCACTTGAAAAGCATGCCTGGTTTAGCCATATCACGACGTTGTCTTATTCAAAAAAACAAAAGAAACGACGTATAAAATTTGGGGATTTGTGTATTTATAAAAAAAAAACTGATTATCATGATTTCAATTACATGAATACAACAATTTCCGGTTTTGGTTAACTTCTATCACATAGCGACAAACACTACATACAAGTATATTTTCTGGAAACATCTTTGAAATAACGAAAGTTTTAAAGCTTCGCTTCTTCCTTTAAAAAATTATCACGCTTATATATTTTACCCATAACTTTTTTACACGTTTTGCATTATAGATATGAATGATGATTGCATTCATTACCTATGTTTCTATTCCCTAAAGATATGCCATTTTTTAATATAATTTAGATTTTTTTTTTATTTGTTAATGCGTTATTTGGATTTTTCATTGTTATATATTAGCAGAAATAATATATACGTGGCTAAAATTTTTTATTGTATGTCTTTAGGCACTAGCTCCGCTATACAACCTGTAATATATGGTTTGTGAGAATACTGATATCAAATATTTATTTCAGTCACATGGCTAGCATGAATTATTTCAATGTATAGCTTGCGGTTTAACTTTATTAATTTAAGTACAATAATATTAATTTTTTAAAGTTATTAAGAGTGTGTCTGCGAGGACATAACTATCCTAGCGTACTCAGTAAAAGAGTGCGAATCAAAAATCTTTAAAATTCGTTTATGTTAGGATTAGTGTTTATATAATAGTTATTTCACATTTTATTATAGATATCATTAAACATCACAGATCAGTCGAGATATTATGCAGTATTGTGGTATAGCCACAATGATACATGATATCGAGACTGATTCGGGATATTTTATGATGTTGACGACAAATACATGTAATAACTGATTTATTACACAGTTCCTAATGCCTATGACTTTATAATTATTATTTTCACAAGATTTTCACAGCTTTTGCAAATTTTTTTTTTTCTTTTAAAATCCTTTTCTTGGTTATATTTTTTAAAGATAATTTACGAACAACCATAATACAATCTAAGAAAAATAGCAAAAAAGAAAGTTCACTATGAAAATATCAGCTGTGAAAATATCAGTAAAAAAAGTTATGGGTAAACAATTAGGAGCTGTGTAATAAATTAGAGTTAAACACTAGAAGATTATATAGTAAAATTGCTTAAGGAATTTTTTTGTTAGAGCGCAAAAGTTGATTTCTTATGCTAATTTTTGAGAAATAAGCAATTTTAATAAAATAAAAGTTTTGTTTTGGATCTTCCCGATTGTATTACATTACACCAAATCATGGGTAAAGTTTCTATATAAACAATAGTTTGTTTACATAGAATTTTACATAGTCAGCCAATCATTTTTTAATGATAATTTGACAACTACTGGATTGTTTTTGATGAGCTTATTACCATTAGATGTGTCTTGATAAGCACTTAATCCACAAAAATGATTAACTTACATCAGCAAAAAATATAGGCTGATATATATCAATCAATATCTATACAAATATATATCAATAATAATCTCTCTGTTGGGTTTTATCAATTGTGATATTAATCAATATATAGCCATTTTTAATAGAAAATCACTAAAAATCAATTATATTAAAATCTGATTTATATCGATATATATCCAATAATTGTTATACTACTTATTTATAGCAAAAGCCGCACTAACACTAGCCTTTAAAATATTTGAAGCAATAATTAAATTTATTTAAAAAATAGTTTGTGACATATAATTATTCGATATACAATGCAAATTTATTAAACAATGAAAGAAAAAAAAGAAAAAAATACAATGTAAGAAAAAAAATATATAATGCAAGAAAAAACAAATACAAAGAAAAAAACAAAAAAAAGAAAAAAAAAACAATATATGAAAAATATACATTATATGAAAATAACGCTATGGAGCGTATCTAAACAATTCATCAACTTTTTCTTGAGATATTGACAGGCTGTATTAGACAGAAGATTCACATTCAGGTTCAGAATGAGGTGATGCTTCTTTTATCATTTAATATATTATTGGCTGATTCATAGAAAGGACCATCACCGCTTTCAAAATCACTCTAATTAAATATATTAAATATTAATATTTGTTACCTATAAAAACAAAACATACAATTATTTACCAAATATTGGTCAATTCGACGTTTCATCCATGATTCCTTGCACAAAATGTTTCGTAAGCGAGGATTAAGCAGAATATCACAAACCACAAGGGTAAATACACAGTATTTACTTGTTATAGTTGGAACAGCCATCGTACTAAATGCTGTTCTCGCTATAATAGCGACCCAGAAGACACTATCTTCATTTTGCTCAAACAGAGCATTGTAGCAAGCGTTTACTTCCCAGCTTTTCTTCCATTTTATGATATCAGCCACAGCCACATTGCTTTATAACCAGGGCAATCTCTCAACTCCAAACACATTTCAAATTGCAGCCCTAACATTTTGGAAAGTGGCGTCATGATTATTTTTAATTTTTTTAAGGAGCTACATAATAGAAAATTGCAAAATTAAAAATGAAAAACAAATCATAAGCAATATATAGATAAAATAAAAAAAAAAAATATTATCTAACAAAATAATATAATTGTAATAAATTGAGATTAGAAAACAATCATTAACGATTATTAACGATTATAAGCGATGGATTTAAAAAAATATATATATATTACCAGACTCAACTATTGACTGTGAAAACAGTTAGTGAATTCATTAGGGCTTAAAGTACTTATAAAGTCTGAGAACTTTTCCTCAAGGTAACTCTTAAACGTTTCCTTAATTACAGCTTGGGTGGGATATATATAGTATGGAAAGAGACGTTTAGTGATGTACGTAAAGATTTTCTACAAACAAAAAACTTTAATATATGTTTCATGATAAATACAAGAAATAATCCAAACATGTTTT